GCTCCCGCGGAGCTGCGCAGGAGCGATCCCGGGTGCGGTGCCCACCCCACCGCGCTCACCGCAACAGCCCGAACTAAAATAACACTCGGAACACAAATTCCTACTTAACTTACACCTGCTGCCCTCCTGTCCTTGTTTGTCCCACTGCTTCATGCAGATTATCGTGCTTAATTTCATAATAGCCCTGAGCTAGTTTAAATACTTAATTTAGGTCACTTCTAGTCTCCTATGCAGGCTAAATAATCTCTCCTTAACTGGCCTCGGACACAAATCCCTCCTGTCCACCTCCTGCGCATCGCTCCCAGCACCCCCCGCAGCTTCTCCCTAGCAGCAAAATGTGATGGGAAACATCTCCCAGTGAAACAAAGGTAGCGCGGAGGGTGCCGAGCTCTGTTAAGGGGGGAAAAAAGAGTTGTCAAAATGGTTTTGATCAGAAAAGCAAAGAATATTTTGGACTGATAAAACAATTTTTTTAAATCCTAAATTACTTAATGAAGACTTTTAATTTTTACTTGAAATTTTTAAGTTTAACTGCTCAAAATCTAAATATGGTTCATTTACCCAGAAAACTTGCCCTCCACTTTTCAATTAGGTGCATTTTTCTTAATTGCATTTGCATTTCTCTGAAACTCTTTCTCCTCCAATTCTTTCCCCTTGCCTGCAAACCAAAGAATTCATTATTCATTCAGCTCTCCAATTTGTTTCTTCTGGAGGGTAACTCTGAGCCACAAAACCCAGGCTTCTGCTTACCCAAAACTCAAGGCTCTTTGATATCAGACTACCTCCAGCTTTGTTAAATAAGGAGTCCTATCATACCATCAATTTTTCAATAGAAATCCTCGCTGACCTCTACCGTCTTTGCTGCCGACACTTCATAGACATGTATTTATATACATACACATGTACATACAGATGTACACACGCTCTCTGTATGTTTTTTTTATCAATAGCCCAAGGTGACCCAGACTGGATGCTACGCCAAATAATTCAAACCCAGCTCCTTCTCAGAGCAGAAGCCTGCAGCACCGGGCTGGGGGGAAGTTCACGGCGAGCACTGGTGGTTTTGAAGAGTCTTTTTTTATTTCCTTTCCGGCTGCCGTACTAACGAACCTCATGGGGGGAAACCACGCCAGAGGAAGAGGCAAAATGAGGCTACTGAAGTCAAAGGAAGAAAATATAAGACTCTTTGACAGGACAGAAAATGAGGCACAATTAGGGAAGACTTATTGCCTGGAAAATGATAATGGACAGAAAATAACCTTTTTTTTTTTTTTCCTAGTGACATCTGCAAGGACCATGCAGCAGGGTGTTAAATGCCAGCATTTCAGTTATGTTTTTACTTACTGCCAAAGGCTGAGCCTGCAGCTGCACCTGGAAAAAAACAAGAAAAAGCCCGGTCACTGGAAGCAGGACACCATCGGCTCTGATACCAGCAGAAGATCAAACAGATACACGACGTGGGGCTGAACAGCAATTAAGTAGCCGGGTGTCTTGCTCATAGGCATATCAGTTTGTGGCAACATCTTAAAACCTGCTGTTGTTAAATCACAGAGGCAACCAGACAGTGCTGTCTGGGGTCTTGGCACCTCCAGCTTTTCACCTGCGGAAGAAAAACCAGCTTGGTCCTTGCTAATGGGTTTTTCTGTTAACCATTTCCTTGACCTACCATTAAAGCCCAGCAAAGGACAAGCACATCTGCTGAGGTTCACTCTGCTACGTACAAACTGCAGGGTCTGAACCAGCTTGTTGCACCTAGGGAGCAGCTCTCCGTGAGCGAGAAGGGTCGAACACCCTTCCCACGGCAGCACTCACTCATCAGGATGCTGCAAAGCCACCGGCTTCAAACCCGCCAGTTGAAGGCCACCCAAGGACCAGCATCTGGCTTTCGGTACCCAGGAGACTAATGGCCATGCTCCTCTCTACTGTAACAAGCGGATGAATCATGGAAAGTCTCAGCTTTGCATGAACATAAAGCACAGAACCACCAAGAAGAGAGGGCTTCAGAGAACTGCCTCTGTTGCAGAGGAAGAGGATGTCGATGGGGGAAGGAGGAAGCAAGCGAGTCGGGGTCAGGGAGAGGAAGAAGACAGAGTGACAGATGGGAAGAGAGATGAATGGGAGAAGAAAGAGCAGAGGAGAAAGAGAAATAGGAAGAGACACAAGGAAGGGAGGGGAGGGAAAAAGAGAGAACAGCATGTCTGTG